TATTAATAATAATTAATAAATAAAATACCGGTCAACTGGGTCAACTCGTTAACCCTATCACCCTCCCTTACAATGTCCACTTGAAATAACAGCCACTTCCGAAACCGTCGTCCAAAAAACTGGAACCGTAATTCCTGAACCAAAAAGTCTGGGCGTAAAAACCACCGAACGCGATTATCCTACATAAAAAATTAAAAACCAAAAAAAAATAAACAAAAAAATAAAACACCTAAAAAATAAAAATACTCAAAAATTTTTATTTAAAACTTGAAAAATATTTTAAAAAAAAAAATTCAACTGAAATTTTAAAACAAAAAAAAAAAAGCTACTAATAAAAAAAAAAAGAAGTTGCCTACGTATCCCTCTTGGGGTTAGGAACAAGCCCAACTAGTTCTTGAACTTTACTTATACCAATTTCATCCCCTTTACAACTTAATCGCTGATTTGCACCACCAGTTGATGTCTCGGTTGAGACCCATTGTATAAATCAATTAAATCTTCATTTCTTGGATTCTGGCTCTTAAGTTCGACCTTATCCAATCATCCACGCATGATATAATCGGGTGTCATACGAGATCGTGTTTTATTAAGTATGTTTCCTCCTTGACTAAAAGCTTGTTCAACCGCAACAGTGGAGACCGGAGCTGCTAAAATTTATTTTATAAGTAAAGAAAGAATTGGAAAAGTATTTGCGTGACGACTCCACCAATCTAAAATTGGAAAATCAATATCTGCATAATCATCACCAAACTCAAAAGAAGTTGTTAGATAATTATTAAATTCAGAAATAGAACTGAATTCCCTTGTTCTTTTTTGTCTTTGTAGTAAAACTTGCTGAGCAACACCAACACCACTTACCCTTTGTGTTGGAAATTGTTGAATATTAGATTGATTTGAGAAGAAGTAAGAAGTAAGAAAAAGATGAACAGAAACTTGAACAAATTCAAAAATGCATAATATTTGTTGTAACTTCATGCCATTAACTTTTAATTAACAATTATCTTTCACATCAAATTAAAAATAACTTTTTCAAATAAATAGTCAAATAATCACATAAAAACACCATTCTACATCTAAGATCAATACACATAACAACAAGATACAGGGGTGATATTTTTTAAAAATAAGATAACCATTTTTTTCATTGAAAAAATACATCTTTAATAAATCATCATTTTGAATCTTGAAGGCAGTAATCAATATTAAATACACATAGTAAAAATAATGAGATTTGGGATGATAATAAACCGCCACAAATTTATGAAGTACATCATTAACAATTTAAAAATCTAAATTTTGCAAACAAATCTCCCAATTGTGTGGATATAAAATATACCTCAATATTATTAGTAACAAAAAAAAGCATAATAATCCTTTATAAGAAAAAAAACGTTAGTAATCCATAATGTTTGAATTCCAACGAGTTGAGACATCCCTTGGAAAACGTTTGGTCTTTTATATTCTTACAAAATTTAGCCCAACTTCATCACTTGCGGGAGTGTCGCATAAAATAATAAATACTTTTTTTAATTAAAAGAAAAAAAAGAACAAGAAATTTCAAAACCATCTGGTACACATAAATTTAAAACATGCATCACATCTATATGAAAAATTTACCACCAAATTGGTTCACAAAATTTTTTTAAAGTCAATAATTGAATCTACACTATTGCAAAGCATACTAAATGAATGAAAAAATTTTCTTGTCAACTTATATCATCTAAAATTGAAAATACTCTATAAATATTATTTACAAGTATATTATCATCAAAAAACACAAAACCAATAATCTTTTTGAATTTTCCAAAATCATCAATCAAATACCAATGACAGTAATATCAAATAAAGAAATGCATTGCCAGCAAAGATCCACTTCCAAACATCACAACAAATTAAACATGCGAATTTTCATTTGAGAAATAAAAGCTCCTAACGTTTTTTTTCCTTTATAATAAAAAATAATAGTGTCTTTTACAGTATTTCTAAATACTTCCTTATAGAAAGGATTAAACTTTTGACAATAATTATTAAACCTATTTTCACCAAAACTAAAAAGAATAAATGTTCCCAGTAGAAATCATTTTGCTAAATCTACTTTTGTATTTTTTAGGGAAAATATTAAATAAAGAAAGGTAGAATAACCCCGAAATTTGTGTTATGAGACCAATCCAACTCCTATTGTTGGATGTTTGCTCCAAATCTTCCCAAATAGACCAACCGCCAGCTATTAAATTTATAAATTCCCACAATAATTGCAAATTAACATCGTAATTCCACCTTTGAATTTTTTGGGAAATAATGCGGAAATGTCGAACTGGCCTTCTCTTCAACAATTTTGCTCGTGCCTTGCTCTGCTCTCATACTCTAAATTGCTCATTAAACTTCAGATTCTTTGAGTTAGAATTTCCAAAATTTCATTGAGTAACCTCAAAATAAAATTTGTCGGAAATCATAATCATAGAGGCGTTTGTAGGATAAGAATTCTCCAATAATTCCCTTGCCCTTACCCCAATTGAGTTCCCTCCACTTGCATTAATGATAATAAAGAAATATAATTGGAAAATTGAATAAAAAAAAATTAAGGAGAAAATTAATTTAAAATAAGAAGATTGATAGAGTAAGAAAAAAGAAAATATATGAGAGAGTGTAGTATATTGTAGAGAGAATAATTAGAGAGTGTAGTATAGTGTAGAGAGAGTAAGAGAAGAGTGGAGATTTTGTAATTTGTAAATAAAATGAGGTATTTATAATAAATCCAAAAATTCATTTTTTCAAAAATACCCTTGAAACTAGCCGTTATGTAGCCGTTTATGGCTTTTGGGAGGGGTAATTAAGAGATTTCACAATAAAATTTAAAAAAGAAAAAAAAGAAACCAGGTTTGATAGTTTACAATGGCTAGAACCGCCAGTTCGAACCTACCGGAGAACCGGCGGTTCCAGTCCGGTTCCGACCGGTTCTCTGGAACCGTCGGTTCTGGTTCCTAATTTTCTGGAACCGGAACCGAACCAGAATTTTCCTGTTCCGGTTCCAGTTCGTCCCGATTCCGGTTCTCACCGGTTCTGGTTACGGTTCCGGGCAGGTTTGAACCGACGGTTTCGGTTCCCGGAACCGTAATATGGCCATGCCTACATTGATAGAGCTAGGGAGTACAAGGGTGGGCCCTAACAAAATATTTTTTTTAAAAAATATTCATAAAATATTAAAATCTTTTTATTTTACCTACTAAAATAGTAATAGTTTTCAATTTCGTCCCCTTGACTCTTGAAATTTTTTTTAACCTCTTTAACTTTAATTTCTGACTCTATCGATGATCTAGTAGGCTGAAACATTAATCTAACTACTAAGAGATAACTGAATGACAATATCATTGATTAAAATAATATTTTATTAAACACTAATCCTAAACTCTTTTAACCTCTTTAGCTTTAATTTCTAACTCTATCGATGATTTAGCTGGTTAAAACATTAATCTAATTACTAAGAGATAACAGAATGACAATATCATTTATTAAAATATTATTTTATTACACACTAGCAATATTTGGATTGAAATAAAATATAATTAACGAAAAATTAGTATATAAATTTACAGAGAATGAAAGTAATAAGAATTTTATTAAAATTTAGTAATAATGCATTAGTATATGCTAAATTCATCCTAAAAGAAATTAAAATAATATTCTCACTGCAATGTTAAAACTAGCAACTCATAAACTCACTAAACGTAAATTTACATTGGTGGATATATAAGCAATTATTGCTTAATACTCTTTTAATATTATTTTAATTATTCATTATTGTAATTTTTTCATTTTGGAACAGATGGAAAATACAAGTCACGTTTTGCTTAATATTAACGAGTTAGCAACAAAAATAAGACACAAATTGGAAATTTTGCATCTTTTATCAGATGAATGTTGCATCTACAGAGTGCCTGATCGACTGCGGCAATTAAACGACAAAGCGTACACACCTCGGTAGTCTCTAGGGACTCTTTCACGCATGCACAAAAAATAGCTAAACATGAAGAACATAAGTTAATACTTGCAGATTTTCTTCAAACTAGACGAGATAGAATTTTAAGAGTAACTATATTAAATTGTTGGGAAAAATGAAAATAGAATACGAAATTGTTAGCAGAAAAATATCAAACTCAATAGTTACGATTTTGTGGAGAATGATATTGCTAGAATGCAAACTTCATTATTAGATTTATTTTATTAAAGTTTTCATTTATAGAGTTGCGAGATAAAAGTGATCGCATATATAACAAACCATGGATGATTGGGGATATAAGGTTTGATTTATTGTTGCTTGAGAATCAAATTCCGTTTTTCGTTCTTGAAGACTTATTTATGCTATCTAATATACAAAAGCATCTTGGAGAAATTTCTATTTTAAAGCTCGTCTACGAATCATTCAAAAATAGATTGGCTTTATGGGCGATGGATTATATTTTGGAGATTCGTAATTCTTCTTCTAATGAGATAAAACATATACTTGATTTGATAAGAAAGTGTCAAAAGCCATTGAAGTTATTGCAGCCACATCAGGACATAAAAATGCAAGTGATACCAAGTATAACAGAGCTCTACCAAGCTGGAGTTAAGTTTCGAGCGAGTTCAAGCAAAAATATATTTGACATAAAATTTAGAAATGGGATTTTGGAAATTCCTCGATTTGATTCCTCGATTGCAATAAATGATTCATACAGAAAAGTATTTGAGAAATCTTACAAGCTTTGTGTATAGCAATGTAATTGCTAGATAATTTAGTTGGTGACTAATATTGGTCCTGATGGCTTAGGCTTGTGAAATGATCAAAGATGTGAATACTTGTCAAAAATGGAATTTGCAGAAAAAATGAGTTGCAGGGAAATGAAGCCTTTGGCAATCTTTCGTAAACCTGACAAAGAAAATAGTCCTCGCCCTAACTTCTATTTCTGTATTTAATTGAAAGATTTGACTGTCATATTGCAAAACCTCTATGGCACACAGAAGTATTTCAACACTCCGTGGGCTGGAATTTCTGTTATTGGAGCTGTTATTCTACTTTTAATTACTGTTATACAAACAGTGTGTTCTTTACTGCAGGTTTAGGTGACAAAGGAGCAAATTAACTAAAGCCAGATGAAGCACAAGAGTAAGACAATCCAACTTAGCCTTTGTGAGAGTAATTAATAAGTAATTATCCTTCTTTAGTTTGAATAGAGTTAGTAATACACATTAGAAGACATAAATATCAGTTGTGGTATTTATAATGTTAAGTATAAATTTGGGGAGTTGTCTAAGTAATATAATTAGCATGCATGTATTGAAAAGGGAATCAAATTATTATGACTGAAAATTAAACCTTTTGGTTTATCTTTGAGTTCTATATATCTTTGTTGTATCACATAATCTTTATGGTGATGTTTTGTAAACCTAGAGTGGTGAGTTGTTCTAACCTCATATTTTGAGATAGTGATGATCTATATGCTTAAGGTGTATGGTGGAGCAGGGAGCAGGAATCAAACATTGGGGGCAAAAAAAATTTCAAAAATTTAGAGGGCAAAAAATTTACAAAAAATTTAGAGGGCCAAATAAAAATAATAATTTTCTCAAGCCAAAGATTAAAAAAAAAAAAAAAAATTTGGAACCATCTCCAGAGATGGTTTCCCCAGTTCACAGTTAAATTTGGCTGCTGAGGCAACAATTTCTAACCATTGTTAATGATATACAAAAATTACCATCTAAAATGAAACTTATGCTCCACCGAATATATAAATTCATCCTTGTATCTAAACTTTGTAACTTTAACGAACTTTGTAAATGACCTTGCAAATTTGATGACATTACACACTTATCTAAACTAACTCTTGAAATAATAAAATTTATATTTTCAACTATTTAATAAGTGTTTTATTAATCTAATTTTATAAATTGCATATTCATGGAATGATTTTGTAAGTTGAAGTTTTTAATAAATTATACTTTATAAGTTTAAGTATTTGATAGATCAAATTAAAAGTCGAGAACGTCATAAGTAACAAAATTCAAAAATAAATTTATATATTCAACCATCACAAAACTTCTGTCTTGTAAAAGCTTTGCATGCATAATTTTCATATGCATATGTGAATTCAATCTTAAAGGGCTCTCCAAAGATATATGTATACAAGGTAAGGAAGAAAAACAAGTAGAGAAAATCTCAAGAGGAATCAGTAGGCACTCGTAACCATTTAAAGGAGAAATGTGTTAATTCTGTGAGCAAAAATGCAACCTCTCCAATATTGTTTAATATATACACAATGCAAAGAACAAAAGAACAAAAGAACAAGGATGTGCTTAGTGCACTGCTTCTGTACACTAGAGGAAATGGAAGGCATAGTCAGTTACCTTCGTGCCAAAGATGGAAGGCATAGTCAGTTACCTTCGTGCCAAAGCTGCAGCAAGCCCGCCAGCAACCAGTCCCACAACTGTAGCAGTAATGCCTATACCAATTATACCAATCAAACCATGTGCAAAAACAACAAATGCAGAGGAAAAACCATTTCATCTTCAATAGAACACATTATCATAATTATTTGGGTAGTGTGCCTGTCTCCACTCAGGTTCAGCCTAAAAAAATACCACGCCGTGGTGATACAACTATATGGGATGATGGCATGAGTTGAATATTATATTCAGAAGTTTGAGTTCTAAATTGTTAGGGCCCCAGCAATATATTTACGAGAATAATAACACAGCGAAAAAATATAAATATGACATACAGATATTTACGTGGTTCACCCTTAATTGTTTAGGGCTACTTCCACGGGACAAACAACGAATATTTCTTCCACTATTAAAAATAGTAGGCTTACAAAGAGAGTAAAATAGTAGGCTTACAAAGAGAGTAATACAAAAATAGTGGCACTCAAAAGTGTTTCCCAAAAATACCCCAAATTATCTTCACTATTTTCTCTACCCTAGTCTTAGAACCCTTTCTAAAACTGAAACTCTCTAAATCTCTCCTTTTTCTTTTGCTTTGCTTGTGTTTTTGTGTGTTGAAGATCCAGCGCCATCTCCTATTTATAGAAGAGGTGGACGGTTAATCACGCGTACACTGAAAAATAGATCACTTATCGAAGAAAATTTTCTTCTTTCTTCAATTTTCTTCTTCCTTTTCAACAGTATGTGGGTCCCACATGTTGGAGGGACATACCTCGTTTTCTTTTCTTCTTTTTTTTATTTATTTCGAATATGATTCTCACTGAATGGGCACCGTCACAACATCAATTTAGGGAAATTATGGTTATAAAATGTATGAACTTACAACACATTGCTCAATTGGAAGCCCATGAGCCTGGTCCTACTTCACCACATAGACTATGAAGCCTTAACATCGAACAAATTTAACTCATAGCTCACTTCTTTATGGGTTAAATCAGTGTCATTTCTATATAATATTTTTTAATATATTTGCAAAATAGAAGAATGCATTATAGTATTATTATTAATATGTAACATTATCATTCACTATAATTTGTTATTATTCTTTTACCTCTTCCTCCAAGTACAGGATAACCTCAAGGGGTTGTGGGTTTCTTTAAGATTTGTTATCATACCCTGAAACATTCTTCCACCAGCCTCCTGCTCTTTGTATAGTTGCTGCTCCTGTAATAGCCAACAGCTAGAAGATACAGCTTCTTTCTTAATTTCAGAGGGCTGCCAGTGCTGTCAAGAGTGTTGTGAGGTCCCTCCAACATGTGGGACCATACAGCTTCTTTCTTAATTTCAGAGGGCTGCCAGTGCTGTCAAGAGTGTTGTGAGGTCCCTCCAACATGTGGGACCCACACATTTGAAAAAAAAAGAGAAAAAAAACAAACAAACACGTTTTTATTATTGGTCAAAGAAAAAAAAAAGAAGAAGAGATTCAAACGTGTAAAACCCACATACGTTTGAATGTAGAAAAAAAGGAAGGAAAAATGGACGCGTGATTAACACAGTTAAATTATCATAACTTATAAAATTAGCAAAATTTTAATTCATAATATTGAACGGAACCATAGAATTATGCAAGAACTTTTAAAAATATATGCAAGAACTTTTAAAAATATATTATTTAATTAATTTATTGAAATTATTAATTTAGCTTATTAATCAAGTATTGCAAAGTTTATTATAGGTCATAAATTCACCTCTATATTTTCGCAAAGTTTATTAATCAACTTTTCTTTTCTTTTTTTTTTTTTCCTTTCTTTTTCTCCTTTGATTTATCCTGATTGATAGTTCTTGAGTGTTTTTGATACTCTTAGACTCCGTTTGTTTCAGTAAAATAATTTGCATGAAAATATTTTTCATAATTTTCCGTTGTTTGGAGAGTTCAGAAAAATAATTCAAAGGAAAATATTTTCCTGGTCAAAAGAAATTAAGTCATTTTTTAAGAAAAATAACTTTCCATTTTCGAGAGATTAATATATTTTCTAGACATTAAAAAGCCTTATAGATCCATATTTTTTAATTATTAAATACCATAGTCACTACCACCGATCACTATTTACCACCGACGACCACCGCTAGTTGCCGCCACCAGTGTCCACCAGCTCTTTCACACCCGAGCTTAGTTTCGCCTACCAGTGTCCCAACCAGCTTTTCATATATATTTAACTTATATATATATCATATATATAATATATAAATATAATATATATATATTCTTCTCATATTTTAACAATTAACAATAAAATTTATAAATTTCTATTATTATTAATATTTTTTATGGTCTTATGAGATAAAAACTTTAATATTTTTAACTAATTCTCAATATTATAACTAAAGAATGAAAAATAAGTCATTTGAAAAATATTTTTCACGGAAAATATTTTTCATAGAAAATATTTTTCAGCAAATTATTTTTCTACAAATCGTTTTACGGAAATAAACGGAGCATTATAATGAGATTTTATTGTGTTATCTCTTCTCTTATATATTATGAATTATTTTACCCTTGATGGGCGAAATGGGATGGCAACCGAGTCCCTTTCAATACTGGAGAGGGAGCACCTTTGCTCCCTTTTGTGGGCCTGATTTGAATTTTATGAACAAATCAATCATCGATAGACACAAAGTAAACAACTTCAATTTCCTTTCTTTTCTTTTTCTCCTTTGTTGAATTGTCCTCTTTGTATAATTTTGACCAAAGCTTTTTCTAGATTGAATAGTATTTAATACAATAGAGAATAGAATTTGAGATAGATAAGATTTGCTATTAAAATTTCAGAAGCTAAAAATGAAATAAAAATATTAATATTTTGACCAGATTTTTTTTACTTATATGTGAGGAGCCTATAGCTCGAGTTAGTACTTAACTGGAATAAATCTTTTTATACGTTATAATGAAATTTATTTTTTTACTGTTTCAGGTATTTTAAAGGAAATGGATTAATAATAATATCAATGAAAACTTATAAAAGATAATTTCGTCTTTTCCACTCAAAATTAACGGAAAAAATGTATTTTTTTTATAGAATGACTAATTAATATGACAGAAGTAAACCTCAGGGACGTTATAAATATTTGTATAAACAAAATTAACGAAAAAAATGTAATCCTTTTTCCTTATAGAATGACTAATAATTAAATATGACAGAAGTAAACCTTCAGGGACGTTATAATATTCTGTATAAATGTAAAGACTACTAATAAAATAATTTTATGGCAAACCTCAGGACGAAATAATTATTTTCTCCAAGGATAATTTCACCTTTTCTTGCTCCAAAATTACCAGAAAAAATTGTATTTTTTTACGAACAGGACCAATTAACCATTATGACAGGGCAAACCTCAGCACGACGTTATTAAATAAACTATATTTTCGTTACTTAAATTAATTGAGGTTTAACTTAACATTAACATACATGTATTGGTTGTAAAATCAGGGACGTTATAAATATTTGTATAAATGTAAAGGACTACTTAATAATTATGGCAAACCTCAGGGACGAAATAATTATTTTTCCAAAGGATAATTTCACCTTTTCTGCTCAAAATTAACAGAAAAATTGTATTTTTTTTACGAAAGGACCAATTAATATGACGGTGGCAAACCTCAGAGACGTTATAAATATATGTATAAATATTGAGGACTACTTAAATAATTATGTAAAAGCTCAGGAATGAAATAATAATTTTCCCTAATAGTATTCATTTTATTTTATTTTTTGAATGCGAGAGAGATATAATATTTTTTATTGTACTATTGATTCGTACTTCAAAGATTTAACATTATCTATTTGCAGTATTTTAACAATTTATTTAGTTTTTAGTACTTCAACCTACAAAATCAAACGCTCAATTAAAAAAAAAAAAGTTATTTATATATTTCATCAATCTTTTTGTTTGGTTTCTTCAACTTGTAGAACTAATAAATCACACAATGAAAAAATTAAATAAACTAAAATTAACCCTCATAACTCAACATATCTTCCAAAAAAAAAAAAAAGAAAAACCTCTCATAATACACATATTATATGCGAAATTGGATACTTGAAAGAGATTAACTTGAAATGATATGATAAATTATACAAGAAATAATATGATGAATTATGGAGCAAGGTGAACTTCTCATTAACAAATTAACACTAAAGGACAAAAAATTTAAATTAACAAGCTATAGAATTAGTGAGTTAATTAGTTTCAAATCAAATAATCAAATTCAACTATATATTTAATTAGCGATGAACAATAAATCTTGGTATCTGTGAACAGGGAATCTTATAATCTTGTAAGGGTATTTTAGTAAGATAATGTATATGATAAGGGTATTTTAGTAATATTTGGCATAGGCAATTATTTCCTCTTTAAAAAAACGCGAATAGTCAATGGATAGGAAACAAATATCTTCTAGCATCTCTTCTCCTCCATTGTTGCTTTGGTTGTTTGGAAGAAGGACAAATATCCCATCTGCAAAATAGCTTCAAGTCATCATTGCAGAGATCAATCAACAGGTTTTTATATTTACTTTTACTTTTCTTTTATTTATTTTATTCTCATTCTCCATTCATTTTAAGAATCAGTATATTTATCGAAATAAATATGAACAAAGATATATATACAAGGAATTGCATTGCCTACTCTGCGCATGTTTTTTTTTTTTTTTTTTTTTTTTTTTTTTTTTTTATTTGAAAATGATAAAACTAGAATTTCCTTTGCAATTTGTAATTTTTTAGAGAAGAAGAGATATCATATTCTGGTTAATATACCACGTGAACACAAAATACGAACATTTTTTTTTTTTTTTTTTTTTTTTTTTTTTTTTTTTGAATTTGAAAAGTATAAACTAGAATTTCTGCAATTTTATTTTTAGGAAAGAGATATCTGGTTAATATACGTGAACACAAAATACGAACTTCATTTGCAACTTATAAAATTTTTCCAAATAAAATTTAATTAATTAAATACTTATTGAATAGTTAAAAAATGTATCATTATATTTTCCAAAATTATAATAACTACGTATCAAATTAATATTTTACATATACAAACCGAAAATACCAAAAAATCATTGTTGTTAGTTAATTGCTTGGACAAATGTATGAATTGATACCTGAATTTTATAATAAAAATCTAATGTTACCCTTAATTTTCATATCAATTCATTAAATTTCTCAATTAGTAAAATTATATATATTAAACACTTTAACTTGTAAAATTGTATCTGTCGAATACGTTAACTCGTCAACTTATAAAATTATATATTTATTAAATGTTAATAACTAAAGTAGCTAAATGTAATGGTCATTCTTTATTAAAAGATATATAACCACTGGCTGAATACAATACTTTAATTTGATAATTGAATACTATTAAATTTGAGTTCAATATATGTTATTTTATAAGTTGAAATATTCAATAATTATAATTTTACAAATTGAAGATCCGTTGAGTCAATTTATAAATTAAGAGTATAGTTAGGTATTTCTTGTAAAGTTCATGCATTAATTTATGTAATGAAACTTAATTATTTATATGTTTATTATATGTAATAGTTAAGGATTAAAGATACTCGTAATGATAAGTTAGCTTCAGCTACTATAAGAAGATGAAACCTGCTTTAATGAAACGGTGTGGAATGAACAAAACGACAGCACATCTCATACAGTAGATGTCATCAAATGAAACGCAGAGTTTTAGTTATACAGCTATTTATGCTAATACTGAGCTTTTTGTTTGTTAGTGCTTAGCTGGGTAATTTGTTAGATTGTTAGTAGCAGCAACAACAAACTACAGCTAGAAGCTTCCACTTATGCTAATACTTCAAATGAAACGCAGAGTTTTAGTTATACAGCTATTTATGCTAATACTGAGCTTTTTGTTTGTTAGTGCTTAGCTGGGTAATTTGTTAGATTGTTAGTAGCAGCAACAACAAACTACAGCTAGAAGCTTCCACACTTGTATATAAACTTATTATCTTTGTTAGATTATGCATAACAAAAGCGAAAAGAAACTTGATGATTCATTTAATTCTCACAAACTTATTTTTATTACTTTAGATTTCTTCATATAATTAAAATATAGACTATTGTATAAAATAATCGTGTTTAGAGTCTTTCTAAATGACACAACTTGTGCCAGACACAAATTTAAATTCAATAAAAGAAAGTAATAATATAACTTTACACATTTTTATTCTCTCTCCTACTCGCATTTCTCTATAACTAATGAAAAAAACTTGCATAGACCTGGTTCATGGTATCAATCATAGACCAAACAAATGAAACTAAAAATTTTTTAAAAAGTTTTTTGACTTTATCTTTTTTTTCAAATGCAAGGTCAGAAATACCTCCCTTTTAATAAAAGTCTTTAATTTCATTGGTTTGATCTATAAACGAGGCTATGGACCCAGCCTAGGTAAGTTTTTCCCATAACTAATAGGATCAATATTGTCATTTCAACTTTTCCATCAAAACTTGTACTAGACCTAAGTTGGGCCAAAAACATTTTCCCTTATGAATAACTTCTATGGGACAAATTTTCCCATGATCACCTATATAGGAGATGACCTTATCATTTCTGGTCTAAGGAGTTTAGTAATGAACCATTGACCAATATTAAGCTATCACCTGGTTCATCATTTCTGCAAGTCACTATTCAACCTACAAGCCAAACAAGTGCTTTAACTTTAGATGCTGAATGTCATAGACTCACCCATTCTATTATCATTAATATCCATTCTAGTCTTCCATTCAACCTACAAGCCAAACAAGTGCTTTAACTTTAGATGCTGAATGTCATAGACTCACCCATTCTATTATCATTAATATCCATTCTAGTCTTCCACATCAATGGTGCCCAATTAATGGTACTATAACTAGAAACTACTTCTAATTATTTGTGGTAAAATCATCCTTCATTTATATTCTCAACTCTTGAAAATGGAGCCTTTATTCTTTAACAAATACTTAAAAACTCATTCAAATTAATCTGAATCATGCACACCAAAGTATAACTTAATGGTAAGTCCATATAAAATTTGGCAATATATCCAGTTTCGAATTCCCCGTCTCCAATACTAAAAAAAAAAAGTCTAAATCATGGTTTTAATGCCTAACGGGACTGGTTATCAAGAACTAAGAGGAGTCGGTTTTACCCTCAAATCTTCTTTTATTCAAAACTGACTGTTTTAACTAGTATATATATTTTTTTCAAAATACTTTTTATAGATATTGGCCCATGACCTAATGCTAAGAGTAATAAAGTGCTAACCACTAGGTCTTGTAATTATTGTATTAAATTACTTTAAAAAATTATTTATTTTCAATATTTTTTTATAATTAATTATATTTTTTCTCAAATATTATATCATTTTTTATTCGACCTTTAAATTGCTGATATCAATAAGTTTCTATTTTATTTTATAGAATCTTATTTTTCTCAAATTATATATTTTTCTCTTATCTATAAAAATAATTTTATTTAATAATACTCTTACTCCTTGTTTGTAATAAGTGAATTTCACAAAATCTTATAGAATTCATTTAGAAATCATATTTTTGTGTTTGGAATGAAAAAGAAAATGTAGATTTCAATTCTAGGAATTCAATAATATGGAATTGAACATAACTACATCAAATCCACAAAAATAGGTTGAATTTTCAAATGAATTCTACAAAACCAAGTCATCAAACATTTATGACAAAACTACCCGTCTTCTTCTTCAAGGTCATTTTTCCAATTTTATCAAACTTATATATTTTATCAAACTTGACTAAAACCATTTAAAAAAAAATTAATTTTAGAAAAATATTTTCTTATTATTGTGTTTTTTATTTTAATATTTTTCATCTTTTATTTTAATATTTTTTTGTATTTTTTCTTATTATGGTGAGAAGAGATTCAAGTTAAATATACATTTATCACTAAATTAAATTTAATAATTTTATTTTAATAGTTTTTTTTGATTTTTTTCTTATTTATAGGTGAGAAAGATTTTCAAGAAATAGTACATTTATCCAAACTAAAATTAGAATTTAATAATCTTATAATATTATTTTTATTTTGTATATTTATTTTAATAAAATATAAAAAATTATATAATCATAGCATTCGAATATTAATTAGTATTTATCTATTTATTTTGTATACAAATTATTATGTTTCGAAGATATTTTTAGGAAAAAACAGAAACAAACAGAAACAAATGAATATTTAATTGTGAATTTATTTCATACATGATTATCAAACATGAAAATTCATTTACAAATGAATTTCATATTTTAAATTCATTTATACTAAATGCAACATTAACTTCTTTTTTAAATATCTATTTATTTAGTCAATATATATATAATTATTGAACAATCTAATATTACTAGTAAGGTAATACGTATAGTTATTTAATTTTTTACTATTTATTTTATTTTAATATAATATTTATTTTAAACTATTTGCTAAAATTATTACTACAGTGAAATTTAATTATTATAATTAAGAAATTTTAAAATTTTCAATCTATTTTAATTTACATACATAATTTTTGATGAAATTTGTTAATTTCAAATTATTTTATTTTATATTTCAAGTTTCAAATTATTTGTATTTTATATTTATACTATATTTAATTACACCATACTTGCGTTCAACTTCTGTCAACTTCTTTAACCCTTCACCCTCTAATCTTTTACTGGGGGTCGATTGATGGAGCTAGGGTAGTTCCAAAGGATGGAAATTTTAAAATTTTCAATCTATTTTAATTTACATACATAATTTTTGATGAAATTTGTTAATTTCAAATTATTTTATTTTATATTTAATATATATTTAATTAAATACTGGTTCAACTTCGGTCAACTCTTTAACCCTTCACCCTCTATCTTTACTGGGTCGATTGATGGAGCTAGGGAGTCCAAGGGTGGCCCGTAACAAAATATTTTTTTTAAAAAAATACTAATAAAATATTAAAATCTTTTTATTTTACCTATTAAAATAGTAATATTTTTCAATTTCGCCCCCTTGACTCTTGAAATTTTTTTAGCCTCTTTAATTTTAATTCCTAACTCCGTCATTAACTGATCGATGATCGATGATTTATTAAATAATATTTTATTACACACTATAATCCTTATAAACTCTACAGCATAAAACTAGCAATATCTGGATCGAAATAAAATATAATTTATGAAAAATTAGCATATAAATTTACAGAGAATGAAAGTAATAAGAATTTTATTAAAATTTAGTAATAATGCATTAGTATATGCTAAATAAATCCTAACAGAAATTAAAATAATATTCTCACTGCAATATTAAAACTAGCAACTCATAAACTCACTACACGTAAATTTACATCGGTGGATATATAAGCAATTATTGCTTAATATTCTTTTAATTATTCATTATTGTAATTTTCTCATTTTCGAACAGATGGAAAACAGAAGTCACGTTTTGCTTAATATTAACGAGTTAGCAACAAAAATAAGACACAAATTGGAAATTATGCATCCTTTATCAGATGAATGTTGCATCTACAGAGTGCCTGATCGACTGCGTCAAAACGACAAAGCGTACACACCTCGTGTAGTCTGTATTGGACCGTTTCACCATGCCCAAAAAAATCTAGAAGCAATGGAAGAACATAAGTTTAGATACTTGCAAGATTTTCTTCAGCTGAGCGAGATAAATTTAGAGGACTATATTAAATTTGTTGGGGAAAATGAAGATAGATTACGAAATTGTTATGCAGAAAATATCAAACTAAATAGTTACGATTTTGTGAAAATGATATTGCTAGATGCGATCTTCGTTATTATGATTTTATTAAAGTTTTCATTTATAGAGTTGCAAGATAAAAGTGATCGCGTATGTAATAAACCATGGTTGATTCGGGATATAAGGTTTGATTTATTGTTGCTTGAGAATCAAATTCCGTTTTTCGTTCTTGAAGACTTAATTATGCTATCTAATATACAAATGCATCTTGGAAAAATTTCTATTTTAAAGCTCGTCTACGAATTATTCAAAAATATATGGGATTCATGGGCGATGGATTATATTTTGGAGATTCGTAATTGTTCTTCTAATGAGATAAAACATATACTTGATTTGATAAGAAAGTGTCAAAAGCCATCGGAGTTATTGCAGCCACATAAGGACATAGAAATGCTAGTAATACCAAGTATAACAGAGCTCTACCAAGCTGGAGTTAAGTTTCGAGCGAGTTCAAGCAAAAATATATTTGACATAAAATTTAGAAATGGGATTTTGGAAATTCCTCGATTTGCAATAAATGATCATACAGAAAGTGTATTGAGAAATCTACAAGCTTTTGAGCAATGTAATTGCTTAGATAATTATGTTGGTGACTATATTGCCCTAATGGCTAAGCTTGTGAATGGTTCAAGGGATGTGGAATTACTTGTCGAGAATGGAATTACAGAAAATGGAATTGCAGAAAATGGGTTGCAGGGAAATGAAGCCGTGGCAATTCTTTTTCGTAACATTGACAAAGAAAATATTCTCTTCTCAAATAAGTTCTATTATCTTGTTTTAATTGAAGATTTGAATGTCTACTGCAAAACCTCTTGGCACAAATGGAAGGCAAATTTGAAGCAGAAGTATTTCAACACTCCGTGGGCTGGAATTTCTGTTATTGGAGCTGTTATTCTACTTTTACTTACTGTTATACAAACAGTGTGTTCTTTACTGCAGGTTTAGGTGACAAAGGAGCAAATTAACTAAGTACGTGTTACTTTACTGTGGTATACAAAAACAGGATGTCTTTACGGCAGGTTTTAGTGACGAAAGGAAAGGCAAATTAACAATGCCCAGAATGAAGCACCAAGAGTAAGACATGCCCAACAGAAGTATTTCAACACTCCGTGGGCTGGAATTTCTGTTATTGGAGCTGTTATTCTACTTTTACTTACTGTTATACAAACAGTGTGTTCTTTACTGCAGGTTTAGGTGACAAAGGAGCAAATTAACTAATGCCAGATGAAGCACAAGAGTAAGACAATCCAATTTAGCCTTTGTGAGAGTAATTAATAAGTAATTGGGATGTGTTTGGACTTATCTTTATTTATCCATCTTTAGTTTGAATAGAGACACATTAGAAGACATAAATATCAGTTGTAGTATTTATAATGTTAAGTATAAACTTGGGGAGTTGTCTAAGTAATATAATTAGCATGCATGTATTGAAAAGGGAATCAAATTATTATGACTGAAAATTAAACTTTTTGGTTTATCTTTGAGTTCTCTATCTCTTTGTTATATTACATAATGTTTATGGTGATGTTTTGTAATCCTAGAGTGATGAGTTGTTCTAACCTCATATTTTGAGATAGTGATGATCTATATGCTTAAGGTGTATGGTGTAGCAGGAATCAAACATAGGGGGCAAAAAAAATTTCAAAAATTTTTAGAGGGCCAAATAAAAATAATAATTTCTTCAAGCCAAAGATTAAAAGAAAAAAAAAAAATTGGAACGATCTCCAGAGATGGTTTCCCCAGTGCACAGCTAAATTTGGCTGCTGAGGCAACAATTTCTAACCATTGTTAATGATATACAAAAATTACCATCTAAAATGAAACTTATGCTCCACCGAATATATAAATTTATCCTTGTACTTAAATTTTGTAACTTTAACGAACTTTGTAAATGACCTTACAAATTTTGATGACATTATACACTTATCTAAACTAACACTTGAAACAATAAAATTTACATTTTCAACTATTTAATAAGTATTTAATTAATCTAATTTTATAAATTGCATATTCATGGAATGATTTTGTAAGTTGAAGTTTTTAATAAATGATACTTTATAAGTTAAGTATTTGATGGCTCAAATTAGAAGTCGAGAACGTCATAAGTAACAAAATTCAAAATTAAATTTATATATTCAACCATCACAAAACTTCTGTCTTGTTAAAGCTTTGCATCCATAGTTTTCATATGCATATGTGAATTCAATCTTAAAGGGCTCTCCAAAGATACATACATATATATATTGAAAGGCCTCTCAAAGAATATCATTACAGATATATAATATTATATATACTATATTATAAATATAAAGGCGTAAGGAAGTATATATAAAAGGTAAGGAAGAAAAACAAGTAGAGAAAATCTCAGGAGGAATCAGTAGGCACTCGTAACCATTTAAAGGAGAAATCTGTTAATTCTGTGAGCAAAAATGCAACCTCTCCAACATTGTTTAATATATACACAATGCAAAGAACAAAAGAACAAGGATGTGCTTAGTGCACTGCTTCTATACACTGGAGGAAATGAAAGGCATAGTCAGTTACCTTCGTGACAAAGGTGCAGCAAGCCCGCCAGCAACCAGTCCCACAGCTGTAGCAGCAATGCCTATACCAATTATACCAATAAAACCATCTGTGCAAAAACAACAAATGCAGAGGAAAAACCATTTCATCTTCAATAGAACACATCATCATAATTATTTGGGTAGGGAGGAGGGGGTAAGTTGTGACTGACTGTTGTTTGTAACCTTTTCTAATCTGGCCTTCAATTGCTTTTTGTTTTGTGTAACCTTTTCTAATCTGGCCTTCATGCTTCTTAAGCGGTACGTGCCGTTGTCTCCACTCAGGTTTCAGCCTGGGAAAAAAAAAAAAAAAAAAAAAAAAACCACAGCGCTGGTGATACAAACTATAGTGGTATAATGGCAAAGAGAGATTGAACATTATATTCAACAAAGTTTGAGTCTCAGGAGTTGAACATTATATTCAGAAGTTTGAGTTCTCAATTCAGGGAAATTATGGTTTTGCAGCAAATACATTTTATAAAATGTATCAACATACAACACATTGCTCAAGTGGAAGCCCATAAGCTTGGTCCTACTTCACCATAGACTATGAAGCCTTAACATCGAACAAATTTAACTCATAGCTCACTTCTTTATGGGTTAAATCAGTGTCATTTCTATATATTATTTTTTTAATATATTTGCAGAATAGAAGAATGCATTATAGTATTATTATTAATATGTAACATTATCATTCACTATAATTTGTTATTATTCTTTTACCTCTTCCTCCAAGTACAGGATAACCTCAAGGGGTTGCGGGTTTCTTTTTACCAACTGGGCCTCCACCACCCCATGGGAATTGCTTACAAGGTTCATAACTATTTCTCTTAATACAGTCACTTAGTAGCCACAAATCACTAGAAACAGAACATATGTTTTCAGAATAAAACAAAAAACAATTATAAGCAGTATAAGGAGGCAGCCACTGATAATGATAAGTTAATAGATTAATGAATGAGGACGCCATACCCTGAAACATTCTTCCACCAGCCTCCTGCTCTTTGTATAGTTGCTGCTCCTATAATAGCCAACAGCTAGAAGATACAGCTTCTTTCTTAATTTCAGAGGGCTGCCAGTGCTGTCGAGTTCTTCTCTTAATTGTTCAGAAGAGGAGCTGCCAGATGCTGTCAAGAGTGTTGGAACGGTCCCTCCCAACATTGTGGGACCCCCCCACACACATTTGAAAAAAAAAAAAGAAGAAAAAAAACTAAAAAACACTTTTTAATTGCCTTGTCAAAGAAAAAAAAAGGAAGAAGAGGATTCAAACATTGTGGGCAGCCCACAACACGTGTTGAATGAAGAAAAAAAGGATAGGAAAAAATGATACGCGGTGATTAACGCATCCATTCAAGAAGAGATTCAAACGTGTGGGACCCACACACGTTTGAATGAAGAAAAAAGGAAGGAAAAATGGACGCGTGATTAACGCATCCATTCGGTGGACGCGTCCCCTTCTCCTATAAATAGGAGAAGGTTTTTCACTAAATAATGCACAAAAACAAAAACGAAGATTATAATTTTAGGAAAGGGTTCTTAAAATTGAAAGAGAGAAAATAGTGAGGATTATAATTTTGGGGTGTTTTTGGAAAAAATTTAGAGTACCACTATTTTTGTAATCTCTTTTGTACCTACTATTTTTAGTGGAAGAATTATTCGGAGTTTTTTGTCCTGTGGACGTAGCCCATAATAGTTGAAGAGTGAATCACGTAAATCTCGGTGTTCTTATTTTCAATCTGGCATTTACGGTAATTATTTAATTTTTACTGTGGTTATTATTTCTGGTGGATTCGATCGTCAATATCCAATAAGAAATTATTGGAGGTATATGTGGTAATAGTAATTTTATTTTACTTTTACCACTGGTATTTTTCATGGGCCCCACTCGGGATCAGTTATAATCCCAACAACTGGTATCACAGCCTTTGGTTGGTAAATTCTGTTAGTTTCTATAAAGTTACTATTCACGTGAATAGTGAATTTTGTGAATAGTAAAATTTTGTCAGATTCAAAATTTGACATGGCTAACGATGGGTCAATGATCAAATTGACAGATTCAAATTATTCAATGTGGAAATCCAGAATGGAGGACTGCCTCAATTGCAAAGATCTGTACGATCCAATTGAAGGTGACAGTGCAAAGCCAGAAGAAATGAAACAAAGGTAGTGGGAGAAATTAAAAAAGCAGACATTGGGTAAAATACGCCAATTGGATAGATGCTAGCCCGTACAACCATGTGAGAAATGAAAAAGATCCCCAAGTTTTCTGGAAGAAATTAGAGAATATGTACGAGGCTACGAATGTTCAAGGAAAAGTCTTCACGATGCGTAAAGTCATGAACTTGAAGCTGTTAGAGGGATGATCAATTACACAACACCTGAATGATTTTGAAGGACTCGTAACTGAGTTACCAGTTAGCGGTATGTCCTTAGAAGACGAACTGAGTTTACCAGTAGCGGGTAGTGTCTCTTTAGAGACGAATGCCAAAGGCATTGCCGTACTGTCTTGTGGATCTCCTACTTGGGTAGCCTTAGTGGATACTCTTTGCAAGCATGCCTACTGTTGGGATCTCTACTGGATAGTTAGGATACTCTTGTGGTGTCATTGAGTAACTCAGCTCCAAATAGTGTGGTAACGATGTCTATGGTAAAGAATGGACTATTTAATGAAGAACTACGAAGAAGAGATGTTGTCAGTACCAATTCACAAGCCCTTGTCACAGAGAATAGGGGCCGGAGCAAGAGTAGAGGTCAAGGGCATGTAAAGTCAGGTGGTAGATCCAAGTCTAGAGAGATGAGAAAATGTTGCCATTGCGGTAAGGAGGTTCATCTCAAAAGAAATTGTCATTTACTCAAACAGGAGCATGCAAACCGAAGACAAGAGAATGACAGAAATACATTTGCTACAATCTCAGGAGAAGATGGTGAGGAATTCTCAGGAAGAAGATGGTGAAGGTGACTTTAGTCACTAATGATGCAGATTGCATGTCCAGTTGAGAATGCGACCAGTTACCGAGTGTGGGTGGATAGTAGACTCCGGTGCTTCATATCATTGTGTTCCAAAAAGGGAATACTTTCCCCACTTATAAAGCAGGAGACTTTGGCACTATTAAAATGAGAAATAATAGTGTCTCGCAAGTGGTGGGAATCGGGTAATACTTTTCCACTTATAAAGCAGGAGACTTTGGCACTATTAAAATGGGAAATAATTGTCTCGCAAGTGGTGGGAATCGGTGATATTTGCATAAAAACAAATGTCGGGTGCACATTAACACTTAAAAAATGTGAGACGTATTCCCGACCTTCGGTTGAACCTGTTGTCAGAAGGACCATCTCACCAGCTCATAACAGGTTGGCTTGCAGTAAATTGGAAACTGACAAAGGCGTCTTTGGTAGGTGGCGAGAGGATAAAATTTTATTAATTGCTCGGCTGTAGATACGACGCACCACAATAATATGTAGTGGTCAATTTGACACTTACAGATTGGAAGATGATGCTTCACCAAAATTTGTGGCATTAGGTGGCTGGCGCTAGTTAGTGAGAAAGGGCTTATTATTATCCTGTTGGCTAAGACAGTCCTTTATTACCATTAGCCAAAGGTAAAATAAAACCCTTTGTGAAATTGTTGATTCTGGGAAGCAACATCGTGTCTCATTTTTGAAAAGCTTATATTAGAAGGAGAAGATCCAACAAGTTGGAGTTGGTACACTCTGACGTATGTGCTGTCCCATGGAAAGTAGGAATCCACTTGGAGCAAAGTTCAAAATACTTTTTTTCTTTAAAAAACCTTCATGTTTGATGATTCTCCAAGCCGAAAAAAAACATGGATATAAATTTGCTTGCGGCACCAAAAAGACTAAAGTATTCAAGCACTTTCAGCAGATTATTCCATGCCGATGTGGAA